TATATATATATATATATATATATATATCTTTTGATGTAGTATGTGCATAAAAATTATTTTACATTTTTATCTACTTATTTTATTTTTAAATTTATTTGTCATAAAAATTAAAATATATTTTTACACTATTTTTTATTTTTTTGAAATTTGTATTTAATTAATCATCTAATAAATTATTACAATAATAACTTATATTTAAAGTATTATTTTTTTCCATATTATTTTTTCTATTTTTAATTTTATTCTTTTATAATTTCTAAATTACAATATAAAAAAACGATATTAGAAAAATTACTTTGTTATTCATATTTATTAGAGAGAGAGATAGATATATATTTTGTCATAGAAGTTATTTTACTTTTTATTTTATTTTTTAATTAAATTTTCATAAAAATTAAAATATATTTATATATTATTTTTTTCATTCTTAATTTTATCCTTTTATAATTTTAAACTAATTAGTCATTTAATAAATTATTAAAAAAACAACTTATATTTAAAGAGTTAATTTTTTATACTATTATTTATTTTTATTTTATCTTTTAATCATTTTTAAATTATTATTCATTTAATAAATTATTAAAAAATCATTTATATTTAAAGTATTAATTTTTTTCTATATTTTTTCATTTTAAAATATTAATTAAACGAGTGTTGGAATATCCATTTTTCACACATGAACACATTAATCTTCAAAAAATTTATTAAAAGTGAAAAAAAAAGGTATATACAGATAACTCATGAAAAAGCAAATTACAAAATGGTATCAATATGTATTCTTTAATTATATATTAATCATTATTTTCAACCATAAATTTTGATCAATAAAAAAAAACACTTAAAAAAAAAGTGTACGAACGAATACAACTTTATTTTAGAAGTTCATAAGTCTCTCTCTTTTATTTCAAAGTGGATTGATGATATTTATATAATTCTTTTAATTTTCTTCGTTTTTCCTTCCTCTCTTCATCGTCCATATATTAAAAACCGAGTTCTAGATAAGACAAATTATACATTTGTCATCTAAAGGTACCTATTTTTGTTTCTTCAGTATTGCATATTACATAAATAAATATTATTTTTAGTTCAACTGATGGTATTTTACCATTTGTCCACGTCTAAAACTTTAAACACTTAAATCTATTTTTAGTGGAGATAGTCTTATGAATATGTACTTTAAATTTTTATAAAAAATTAATCATGTTTAAATGTTCAACTTCTAAAAATCAAACAGTTTTTGTTCAATATTAATATTTTATTCAATATTACCATTTTATTTAATTTATTTATATAAATGAAAAAAAAAATGTGAATTGGATTATACTTGGAATAAATGAGAAACGACCATTTTGCTGATGTCATGGGATA